TGAGGTTGAACATACTATTGTTCAAAGAATTTTCGCATACTAAATATAAATCCATGCTAAGATCTGTGATTTTTTTTTCAAAATATGAGCCTCCCCAAGCCTCCCCTACCTATTTTTAGGGGAAGCTTGAGCCTCCCCAAGCCTAATGGCTCCGCCGCCACTGATCATACCGAAAATTTCAACTTAGGACGCGCACGCAATAATTTGCAAAAATAAGTACTTGGATACTTTTGGAAGAATGAAAAACGATATGTTGTGATTATATCGTCCATAAAAACTATATCAAATCATGAACTGAACTGAAAATGTTTACTATTAAAGAATATAGAAGATCATCGGACGAAAACCGTATGATTCCAGCTCATCTAGGTTTTGAGATATACACAAAAAGAATATAAAAGTATCTACTAGTTAAATACTTCTGATATCTACTGTTTATACTAATAGTTCAAATAGTCTAGATTCAAGTGAGAGTTATTCATGATAAACTATATTTTGTTTTCAATGAATAGACTCTACTTCTTAGATCAGTTAAAAGATGATATGAATAGTGTTGTAATGGTTAAAAAGACGTTAAAGACGAGCAACGACCTATCAAGCCTGTAATTAAAACTGTATCTTTCATGAACATTCTCAAGATCAGCTGCTACGATATATAACTAGCCGTAATTTTTTAAAGTTTATAATGATCGAAGATTATTCGTTGGACAACGTCACGATTCAGATTAGTTTGCGCTTGAAATTCGTCAATTATAATATGATCATTATCATTCATAAGGCGATGAATGGATGTTGTGCGATGACATATACGCCAGATCGTGCTCCATCTTCAATATTATTTCGATCTTCACGAAACCACTCACATCATTTTTCAACTATTCTGACAGGTGGAGCCTGGTTGCCGAAAATTAATATATGGTGTAGTACGGACTTAAATGCAGAATTGAAAGTTTTCCTTATTCAGCATAACATCAGAGATGAACACCTATGGTTGAAACCATTATATTATCATAGTAATCGAAAAGTGGTGAAATGTTATAGAAGTATAGAATATTGTTGCAAGTATCAGTATATATATAGAGCGAGAAAACTTCCTTAAATCCTTCTAAAATATAACATAAACCCCCTCCCATAATAGAAGGCCCCCGTGGGTTTCTAAACTGCCCACCGTTCAAAGTTTTTGGAGCGGGCTTCTATTATGGGGTGGGCTACTAATATGACTTTTGTACAGAAATTTCGAAAAGTATATAATGGAGTCATTGTTTCAATCATCTTGGCTATCTATTTGTGATAAGTTCAAATGATCTTACAACACTGTGAAATTTAATATAAATGTACCAAAAAAACCTTATTCTGTGTCATAAATATACAAAAAAGCATACTATTTTATGTAATAAATTACAAAAAAAATAAGGTGAAAAAAGTCATGTACAAATATACATAATTAGGCTACTTCTTCCAAATGAAGTTTAATGTTGTGGGTTTGTGGGTGTAGATGTGGATGTGGGTGCAATTGTAAGTTTGGGTATTGGTGAGTCTGTGTGAACTTTGTCTTCTTTTGACCTACACCCACAGCCACACCACTAGCTACCCACACCCGCGTTTTTTTTATCGTTGGAACCTTCAGCAAGCAATATGTGACGTGTTGTCTAGTGCACTTTCTCACGTGCAGAGCGCTCGCCAATTTAAACTATCAGTGCTAAGAGGAAGACAGATTTTGAAAAACTCTGGAAACTCTTGCGTGTCATGCAAGCCCTGGGCTTCTAATACATCTTTTATATCGACCGTTCTGTGGAAGGCTTTTAATACGGGAGGGGATTTAGTACTCTTGAACGGAAAATGGATTTTTGGAATTTTTTTCTGGCGAACAAAATTTGAGAATTTTTAGATTTTCTCTTAAGTTTCTTGAAAAATCTTCGAGAATTTTTAAATCTTAACTTTTTTCAACCTATATCTTCTCGATTTTAACAAAAAACACAGACGCAAATGTTGTCTTTATTTAATCATCGTATCTTTGCAGTCGCCATTCTTTTTTATGACGTACGCGTGTTGTTGAGTAAATGGCGAAAATGAAGATAACCATTGTTTATCACTTATTTTTCTCCTCTGAGTATACTTATCAAGATTCTAATGATATTTCTCTCTATGCATGCTTCTACTCTCTCGTAGTTTAATGCTTATCATACTTATTATTCGTCCTTATATGCTGGCTTTTAGATAAAATTCACACTCACAAAATATTCACTTCTCAGCCGTTTATGTAAAACAATTGTTCATTGATACGATGAGTACAACATCAGAACAAACGACAAATGATCGTTCGAATGATACTGTTTTACACGAAGATGATTTGATTGAAAAAGCCAAAAATTAATTTGGCTATCACAGTGATATACTTCGTACGTTCGAATCATATCGCCAAAGTGTACTTCGTAATGAATATATAACACCTGTTGGTCGAAATTTTTTTCTATCCGAACTTCATGCTTTACACACAAATTGCAAGCGTGTTCTAAATTATGCAGCCGAACACAATGAAGTTTTCAGTCAAAATTTGCCTGCTGTTGGTCCGTTGGTAGTTTGTGGCCTTGCACGTACAGGTACAACATTACTCTACAATTTGCTTGCCTGCGATCCGAATTGTCGTGCACCATTGTACACTGATATGACTGTTGAAGTCGTTCCACCGATTTCACGATCCGATTCGATCGGACAAAAACGACGAAATGATCTTTTAAAATCTCCTCAACAAGAGGATGAACAATTATTCGAAATACTCATTCAAATAGCTGCATTTCATGCACATTTTGATATTGAAGAAGACTTTCATATTCTACGTCAAGCTGGCTATTTTTCCCTGTTTAATCTTATATCTGATGACGAAGATTGCACTCCTGAGAGTTGGATTCATAAGGAAATGAACAACGATCATGCATATGATTATCATGAAATATTTCTACGTATGTTAAATACTGCTGATATGCCAAAATCGCATTGGCTATTAAAATCACCGTTGCATATTTTTTCTTTTGATAAATTGCTTCAACATTATCCGAATGCATTATTAATCGTGACACATCGACCGCGTGACGAGGTTCTACCGGCATCGTGTAGT